CACAGACTCAGAAAAACAAAAGATGTATATTCTCCCTCATTTGTGGATCCTAGCACCAAATCCTTATCTGTGAGTACAAATCCTGATGTAACTGCAGGAACCAGGAAAATGGAAGGAAACAAGGGAGGTAAAGGGAAAGAAGAAACCTGAGAGAGAACAATAGGAGACAGGTGTTACCAAGGGAGAAATGGATAAAATGTGGGTTTAAAAAGGAGGGAGAGGGAAGGTTATACAAGGAAACTTGGAGATAAAGGGAAAGAAGGAGCTCAAGAGAGTTGGGACCATAAGAGACTAGTATTAGCAAGGGAGAAATGGGGAAAATGGGGACACTTTAAATGGGGAAGCCATGGTGGAAGGGTTAGACAGGGAGCGGGAGAGGAGAGATAAGTAATGCCTAGCTAGTGTAAAAAACCAGAGGGAATCATATTAGTCCAACAACCTAATGACAAATTACACATAAAATATCTCTACATGTGCAAAATATGGATCCTTAAATTTACAAAAAAGTATCCCAGTCACCACCTATCAAAGTAGCTTCTTTTCCAACAGACAGAGATTATTACAGTTACACCACTGGTCATACACAGAGATTCTCTGTGAATTGCTGAAGCCTAAGTGGCACATCTGCTTTGTAACCTCTACACCTAAGACTCATGGAACATAGAACAAAGGATGAAGAGAACACTAATGCATCTTTCCATTCTCATCAATGAAGCACCCCCATGCAATAGAGGGCTGGGAACACAAAAGAGGAAGGAGCTATAAAGATGATTTTCTGTATGAAATACACAAAATTCAATAAAAATAAATCACTCCAATAAACCAGAACCTCTCTTACCTCATAAAGATCATACCTTACCATACTATACAGTTCGTCAAAGCCACTAAAGTCCCATACCAGTCCCAAAGAACCTGCTGAATTAACTTCTTAATTCTTTTGTGGACAATTCCTATCCAGCCCAAAGAACTTGGCATCAAACAGTATCTCTGGCATGGCCAGTTCCATCAGTAATGCCTGTCCTTCCTATATTGTCTTCCAGTCTCTGATATTCATGGGGACCACAGCCAGCAATAACCAAGTATTCCTAATAACTTGATAAGCCAATACATTGGGGATTTATTTCCCTCATAGTGCCTCAAATTATATGACCCTTGTTTCAGATATATTATTCAGTTTCTCTGCTTCCACAGCACTCAGACTCATCTCATACACCCCCATGTCCCGTAGCTTAACAAGCCAAACTGTGAGATGTTCTTTCACTTCTTCAAAGTCTTTCCCAACTCACTTTGTTCAGAGTATTCCCTAGTATCATGGCCCACAGTAATGGGCCATTAAAGCTCCATCTTCTTGTTGAATCACAGATTTTCCCTTCTTGTATATTAAAGGTCCACGATATCCTTTTGATCACAGGGGTATCCTCTATCATTTCTACCTTATTTTCTTCCTCTTCAGTCTCTGATTCTTCTCATGAGTTCCAAGTCTTTGAATCCCAGGAAGGGCTGTGTTAACAGAACTAATTTGGAATCTTCCCCCTTGAATCATACCAGCATTAGAAATGGCAAGCCAACACCTCCATCTCATCCTCCCTTTTCCCACTTTTCCTGCCAAATCAGAGGCTAGTGCAGAGGATAGCATCCATGTGTCTCTTTCCAGTTGCAATTCATCTTTGTTAGGTGAGTTCTTCTAGGTAGAAATCTGAATCTCAGTTGCATGTCTCATACACACAGCCTCCCAACAGCTGCCTCAGCCTACTTGTGATTCCATCTACATGTACTGCGCTTAGAGATTGTAATATTTTCACTACCTCACTGGCAATTTGGAGAGCATCCACATACTTGTAGAAGACCCTGTTCACAAAGGCCTGCCACTCCATAACACATAGAGGACGTAGATGGATATCCTGAGATTCTCCCTAAAAGGCCCCAGCAAGATGGCTTATCCTGATTACATGTCTTATCACCCATAGCAGGGAGTATGCCACTGCCACTAGAGCATCCCGTATCACATGAGGAAAAGCAGCCAAATTGAGATTGACCCAGAAGATCTTCCAACCTCAGATTGATCCATCTCAGTTGCATATCTTATTACCCTTTGCAAGGGCATATAATTGCTCCTATACAATTCACCTTTATTTCTGTCAAGTCCCTGTTAAAGTGACAATCATGTTGTGTGACTTTACTTGGGGAGAAGTAGAAAAACATGTTAACCCCAGGTAGGGCAATGATGACAGACCGAAGGTTTTGTAAACCATTCCACCTAAGTCTAGCTTGATGAACCAAGGAGTTTATCAGAATTACTTAACAGAAGCATGAGTAAAAGATTATTGGCAAGAGCATGGATGACTCAAAAGCAATTGTATCATAAACAGCTCACCTCAACATGGGTGGTAACATACAAAAGCTGCATCACTGGAGTTCCCTAAACCACTTGCACCCATGCTCCTGTAAGTAGCTCTTGATATACCCCATCATAGAGTCCCTTTCCCCAGCAATTATTTACCAGTTATATAATCTTCATAGGGAACTTTTGGATCATAACTTTCTGAGCCCTAAAGGTTTTGTTAGCTTCCTAAATCATATGAGTCTCCCTTCTCCCTCTGGAAGGGAATAGCTTCGTAACATGCAGGAATTAGCAGAACTGACAATGTTAAAACAGCCATATTACCAAAAATGGTATTTATAAATATAATGCAGTCCCCATCAAAATTCCAATGCCATTCTTCACAGATGTAGAAAAAACAATCCTAAAACCCATATGGAAATACAAAAAAACTTATAATAGTCAAAGGAATACTAAGGAAAATGATCAATGCTGGAGGCATCCCAATATCAAACTTTATGCTATAAAAAAAACTATTTACAAAATAATGTTATACTGGCAAAAAAAAACAAACACATAGACCAATGAAATAGAATAGAAGGTCTAGAAATGAGCCAGCCAGCTACACCCATCCAATTCTTACATTGAAAGAAAGACAGCCAAGTTGCACAGAGCAAATTGGATATCCCCATATAGAAGATTGAAATGAGTCAACCTAATATGGATAAAATAGGAGAGTGATGCCTACAATATAAAACAACAAAAAACAAACAACTGAATCAATAAATGGACAGTGGACAGAAACATATTTTTAAAGTGAAAAAATACAAATAGTCAATAAATCCTTTAGACTTGCTGGGCATGGTGGTGCATGCCTTTAATCCCAGCACTTGCGAAGCAGAGGCAGGTGGATCTACATAGCAAGTTCTAGGACATCTGGGGCTACAGGGTATCCTGTCTCAAAAAGACTAAAAGAAAAAAGAAAAAGAAAAAAGTTCAGACTTAGCCATCAGGGAAATACAAATCAAAACTACAATGAGGTTCTATCTCACGTCTAATAGAAGAAAATAACAACAAATGCTGGAAATGATACAGAGGAAAGGAACCCCTAGTTCACTGCTGGTGTGAATGCAAATTAGTGTAGCCACTACGGAAATCAGTATGGTACTTCTTTAAAAACTAATTATAAAACAACCATATGATCCAGCTATGCCATACCCATTATACAGAATCTGCCTAGATGTCTATCTACAGATAAAGACAATGTGGTACAGATACACAGTGGAGGTTTACTCAGCCATAAAGAATGAAATTATGTCATTTGTACAAAAATGGATGTAATGGATCATGTTAAAGAAATAATCTAGGCCCACAAAAGCAAATAAAAAAAAAGTATGTCTTATCTCATATATGGAAGCTGGGGGTGGGCAGGAACATGAACTCAAAAGAGTACTACTAGGTATGCAGAAGGAGATGGAAAAAGGAAGACTGGGAGGGATAGTAAGAAAGAATAATGGGGTGATTATGATCAATGTACATTATATGCCTTTATAGACATGTCATAATGAAATCCCCTACTTTTTACAATTAATATGTATTTAAACATACTCTCTAGGAAAAAGTGTCTCACATGTACATGGAATTATAGAGCAGAAAGGACCTTAAGTGTCATCTTGTTCAAATAGGTAATTTTAAGTTAATATTCAGAAGTAGAGATGAGTTTAAATAGTAAATCTTTATTGCATTCATTTTTAAAAAGTTTTGATGCTTCTAGTTTATCTACATTTATTATTGCTGCCTTGTTACTTGTATATTTTGTTATTTGTATTTTTTTAAGTTTTTGTTGAACTTTTGTGTATTTTATACAGAACATCTCAAAACTTCTTAATGGTCTTTATACTCCCGTCCCCACTGGCACTCTCCCATAGCACCCCCACTAAAGTCCATATACTCTGTCATCCCTGTTAAGGCCCACTGTGTCAAGTCAGTGTCCCCAGACATTCCCCAGTGCAAGTCCATCCACTGAGGTGTAGTCAGCCTATCTAGAGTCCCTTGTTTTAGGAAGATCAGTTCTTCCTCACCTAGCAGCAATCAGTTACCAATATTTCTTCAGATAAGATTGGGGTCTGCTGTTCATTTTCCCAGTTTTATGCTGGATTTTGTCTACCTGAGTTAACATGGGACTTATGTATGCTGACACCATTGCCATAGAATCATATGAGCAGGTTCCCAGGAGCTTGTAAGATTCTATTTGCATATGGTCATGCACTTCCTCCCTAGCTCTTACAATCTTTCCACCCCCTCTTCTGCGATGGTCCCTGAGCCTTGGGTGAGTGAACTTTAATAAAAGAGTCCTTTCCAAGGACAAGCATTCAGCAGACTCTTGATCTCTACGCTTTGGCCACTTGTAATCTTTTATGTTCCTGGCCCTTCCCTGCATGAGGGAGCTTCATTAATGAGAACTCAGAGATTCATTATTTTTTAAACATCGCCCAAATCTGATTCACAAAGATTTACATGTGTGTTTTTCTAAGAATTTTATTATTTTAACTTTGCATTTAGGACTCTGATCAATTTTGAGTTAACTTTCGTATATACTTTGAGGGTTCTGTTTCATTCTCTTGCATGGAAATGTCCAGTTTTAGCTGTTTTTAACCTAGGTATTTGTTTTTCATTTTAGGCCCCAACACAGTGTTTACCAGGACAGTGGCAGTGGAGTGTTGCCCAGGTAAATATTAAATTCTAGTATCTAATTTTAAATCCTTCTGTTCACTGAATTCTTATAAAAACTCTCTGAAAACTAAAGTCAAGATAACTATGTTTGAAACATTCCTCCTTTATTAACTATGATTCATTTAATTATTACATCCTCATTTCCCACAAAGAAAACCCATCTTTTTGTTGTCTGCAAGAAACTCATCTCACTTTCAAGGACAGGCACTATCTTAAGGTGAAAGGATGGAAAAAATATACCAAGCAAATGGTACTAAGAAAAAAGCTGGCATTGCAATTTTAATATCTGACAAAATAGACTTTAAACTAAAACTAATCAGAAGAGATAAAGAGGGCCACTTCATTCTGATCAAAGGAACAATAAACCATGGAGCTATTACAATCATGAACATATATATATTCACCAAACTCTGGTGTACCCAACTTCATAAAAACAATACTACAGGACTTTAAGACCCAGATTAATTCCAACTCATTAATATTAGGGGACTTCAATACCAGACTGTCTCCCTTAGATAGGTCAACATGGCAGAGAGTTAACAGAGAGACATCTGAATTAAACAATACCGTATATCAAATGGACCTAACAGACATCTACCGAATATTCCATTACCCCACTGTCTCCATTAGATAGGTCAACAGGGCAGAGAGTTAACAGAGAGACATCTGAATTAAACAATACCATATATCAAATTGACTTAACAGACATCTACCAAGTATTCCACCCAAATACCAAAGGACATACTTTCTACTCAGCACCCCATGGAACCTTCTCCAAAATTGGCCATATACTGGGGCACAAAACAAACCTTAACAAATACAAAAGATTGAAATAAGTCAGACCACAATGCAATAAAGCTTACAATCAACTCCTGGAGAAGCCCTAGTGACTATATGAACTAAACAACACACCCCTGAATGATGAATGGATCAAAGGTGAAATGAAGGGAGAAATAAAATTGTTCCTGGAACTAAATGAAAAGGACAATACAACACAACAAAATGTCTGGGACACACTGAAAGATGTCTTTAGAGGAAAGTTTATAGCTCTAAGTGCCTACATCAAAAAATCAGGAAGAACACAAATAAATGAATTAACATTGCAACTCAAGACACTTGAAAAGCAACAACAAATGAAACCCAAACCCAGCAGACAAGAAGAAATAACAAAACTCAGGGCAGAAATTAATGAAATCGAAATGAAGAAAACAATACAAAGAACCAACGAATCCAAGAGCTGGTTCTTTGAAAAGATAGACAAGATTGACAGACTGCTACCCAGTTAATCAAAAGAAAGAAAGAGCACCTCCAAATCAACAAAATCAGAGATGAAAGGGGAAACATCACAACAGACACCAAAAAGATACAGAACATTATAAGGGAATACTTTAAAAACCTATATGCTACCAACTTTGAAAACCTAAAAGAAATGGATGGATATCTAAAGGCATAGGAACCACCAAAACTAAACCAAGAAAAGATTAACAGCTGAAACAGACCCATAACACAAAAATAAATTGTAACAGTAATACAAAACCTCCCGACTAAAAAAAGCCCAGGACAAGATGGATTTACAGCAGAATTCTATCAGAAATTTAAAGAAGATCTACATCCAATACTACTTAATTTATTCAAAAAGATAGAAATGGAGGGAGAACTTCCAAATTCCTTCTATGAAGCCAGCATCACTCTAATACCAAAGCTAGGTAAAGATACAACCAAAAAAGAAAACTATAGACCCACATCCTTAAAGAACATATATGCAAAAATTCTCAAAAAGATACTTGCAAACCACATACAGACACACATCAAAAAGATCATCCACCATGATCAAGTCGGCTTTATCCCAGAGATGCAGGCATGGTTCAATATACGTAAGTCAATAAACATCATAAATCATATAAATGGACTCAAAGACAAGAACCACATGATCATCTCAATAGATGCAGAGAAGGCCTTTGACAAAATTCAACATGCATTTATGTTCAAAGTCCTAGAGGGAATTGGACTGGCGGGAACATACCTCAACATAATTAAAGCCATATATAACAAACCCACAGCCAACATCATTCTAAATGGAGAAAAACTGGAAGCATTCCCATTGAAATCAGGAACCAGACAAGGCTGTCCACTCTCTCCACTTCTCTTTAACATAATGCTTGCAACTTTTGCAAGAGCAATAAAAAAAGAGCAGGAAATTAAAGGAGTAATAATTGGAAAAGAAGAGATCAAATTAT